TTGCCAAGCGACGAAAACCCAACCCCGATGGCAAACACCGAGGGGGGACGGCTTGTTTTACATCGTCGTTGCCAAGCGACGAAAACCCAACCCCGATGGCAAACACCGGGAGGGGGGAGGCGGGGAGGGGGGGGGTTTCAAAGCAGCGTAGATAGGATTAGGATTAGGATTAGGATTTCCCAGAGGGCGGAGAAGTGCGAAGTGCACGTGGAGAAGTGGTAGTGCTAGTACTGCTTCGGTGCTTCATGCATATGCATCTGTGCATCTGTGCTATCCCTACTGACCAAGACAGCAGTCTCTCTTAACCCTACCACTGTAGTATATATTGTCACTATTATTATAGTACGGCTCTCGATACTCCGCTCAACCAACCAGTACGCTCAGTACGAGCTCTGGTGGAGGTCTGCTCTCCATCCTGTACTGGCGTAATACTGCGCAACACTGCACGCTTCAGTACAGCGCTTGGTACTGGCGGTACTGCACAGTATTCAATACCTGCGAGGCATACTGGAATGTGCTGGCTGTTTTAATACAGCTCTCGATACTGGAATAAAAAGTTTCAGTACTTTTAGTACAGCTCGCGGTACTGGAATAAACTGCACCCTCAGTACGGCTCTTGATACTGGAATGTACTGGCTGTTTTAGTTCAGCTCTCGATACTGGAATACAAGTTTCAGTACTTTTAGTACAGCTCTCGATACTGGAATGTACTGTACTGACAACACGGCCCTCAGAACTGTACTGTACTGGCTGCTACAGTACGGACTTCAATGCTGGCATGAAGGTACTGCTGTACTGTACTAAACACACTCTTGATCTTCTTCACGTCTACGTACAAACTGCCGTTATTTTCTTGGGGAGATACCACGCAAGCAGGCATTACTGCTGCTGTGCCGCCTGGTCTTGGAGAGGAGGGTAAAGATAATGGTGTGCGGTAGCTGGTGCCTCGTGGCCATGAAAGAACAGAAGGGGGTTACTTTTACGTGTTCCGCAGTCGCTGAGGGCACCTTTCCTTCCTGGATGTGTTTGTCGAGTCGCCCACCGGTCACCGATCGGGGCTTCATGATGAAGCCTGACGATCACGGAAAAACCACGCGCAGGCTCCCAACTTTGCCCCCCGCCGGAAAAAAAATGGGAAGGAATGGGCGGGTGCGAATCGCGCCCTCGTTCAAACGACAGCATGTACAAATCGTACCTTCCTGGGACAAAACAAGCTCGTGCACACGCATTGGGACAAAGCAGTCGGTCGTTCGGTGGGTTCGACAACTTCGTTTCTGTTTCTCCTCCGCAACTCCCTCCATGGAGTCGTGTCAAATCGTTAACCCAATAATTGATAAGGGCGGGGGGGGACAACTAACTACGCTTCCATTTGACGGGAGTTTTGTGGAACGAAAGCGATCCCCCGACACCAACCTTGTACTAAATCAATAAGACGCGTTCTTCGCATTGAGCTCTCGTGAATTGTTCCACACGTCGCCTAGGGCGCCGTTTCTCAACAACGTCTGGTATTTCTCAACCACTGCATTTAGTGCATTGCAGAAGAAGCAACAGTCCGCTTGTCTGCACTGCCTGGCCCCCCTTCGTAGATACAGACGAACGAGCCTCAGGAGCGGCGGGTGATGCGACAGGATCAACAACGGAATAGGGACAATCATAATTGGGGCTCATGCGTGGATGTTGTATTTTTTGTAGTCTTTGAGGGGAGCAAAAAAAGCTCCGCATCCTTGTCCCACAGCTTTTGCAACAAAATTGGGGAGGCCAGTCGTTCAACAGCAGTAGTGCAGCGGTAAGACATCGCGCGTCATCAAAGCGCTCTGCACATGGTTCGTCGATGAACCTCTGCGGGCGGACGCAACAACGACGAAACGGCAACGCAGAGCGAAAAACTCTTGCACACAGGTCCGTTGCACACACCATCTCCACGCTCAGTCGACTCAGCGGAAAATAATTTTTTGTTCATGAACACCTGTACACGGAGTTGCAGGAGCAAAGAGTAGGTGACGGCCATGTAAGGGCCGGAGATCGGAAAGCGCGCACACACTAAACAAGAGAAAGAACCGCGCTCCTAGTGGCGTCTGCTGCGATACAACAGTCCGCCACTCTACACGCGGCCTGAGACAGGGGGATAGCTGCCTGTGGGTATAGACTGCTGTGATACCCGAGGCTCGATATTTTCACTCACTACTTGGTGCAATTAGGAGAACGCGCAACCTCACCAACACAGGCGCCCGTAAGGATCCGTCCTCTGCTCCCACTGCTGCTCCGGTTCCTCTTCATCCTCTGACGATTCCTCTGCTTTCTTGGTCTCCTCCTTCTTGGTCTCTGCGCCGTGGGGAATAAGGGTGGGGCGTGGTGCAAGATTATATTTCGTGCAAACAACCTCGCTTCGTTCGCACGAAGAAATCCAAATCTACTTGCCTGCTGTTGTCTGTCTGGTGAAAGCTTGAAGTTGGAAAAGGCCAGCCGCACCCCCACCTTTCTTGTCGGCCTTGGGTTCGAAAGAAGGCCGGTTCCTCCTCTTGATGATCTTTGACATGAAATTCTCCATGGCTAGGCGCCTTAGCAGCGGTCTTGGGACAGTCTTGAGTACTGCTAGGGCAGGCAAAGTGCAAGGCCAAGGGTCGTTGTTGTGCGCTTGTGCCGCTGGCGCGGCGTCGCCCGGTTCAGTAGTCACCGGTCGGTAAATGTTCGTCGGTAGTTCTAGCAGGTGGACCCTCACAAACGCGGGGTAATAGTCCGAGATGTGTGCATGCATGGTTGCATGGTCATCAGGTTCTCCGTGAATCCATGCCCCCGTCCGTTCTGAGCGCCCCGTTTTCTCTCTCCCCCCGTGCTGGTGCAAAGGGTTTGCTCAAGAGGGCAGAGTGTGATGCAGACCCAGAAGATAGTCTACAGCAGCGAGAGCGGCGTAAGCGCTTCGCGCGCGGGCCGCAGTAGATCGCACACACACATGAAGAATATCCCGAAACTTGTATCCATGTGGCGGTGCCTCTTTTCTCAGAACGTTCTTCATGGTCTGTTTGGTGGGGGCGGGGTGTTCTACTCGGTGGCGGACTGCGCGCTTCCCACACGAACGTTGCTTTCCGATGACGGACCAGCCCGTGGCTAAAGGGCTTGCCTCTGTGTCCTTGTGTCGGTCAATTGGGATGCGTTGAGACCCAGGATGTACGCATGATACCACACCTCCTGAATGAAGCTCGATTGCATAGTCTACCAATCTACTCACGCAACATCGAAAGGAGACAACATCAGATGATACCACCTTTTCTGCAAGGTCTCGACGAGGCGGTGTTGTTCCACAAAATTCGGCCCATCACTGACTGTTGTTCCGCTGCAGAGTAAATCGAGCTTCATTTAGAAACAAATCCGTCGAAGGGGTGCGGGGAACGTGTGGCATGAAAAATTTCAGACCCTGTACAACTATGACTAAACAACTAAACAAGAGTTGTGTACGGGTTCAGCGGAATCAGCTTATTGCACAATATTCTGACCGAGTACTTGTTTGTCAAAACAAATATAAGGATCGGAGTTGTACCGGGTGTGAAAAATTTATGAGAATGGTACAGAGCAAATTACCCTTTGGAATGATTGTAGAAGTACAGGCTCCAGCTCCAAGCGACATCCATTTTTACACCTGCAGCAGTATTTCTACATTAGTAGCATTCTCAGAGATAATCAATCCTCTTGCATCATAGGAAATAGACCTCACGCACTTCATCTAGGCCTGTCCTCCATCGGCCGTTTTATTTTCGATTTAGATACACAAACTTTATTTCTATACTAATTTCAAGTAATTCCACCTTCTTATTCTCCGTCATACAAGCAAAACGGCCGATGGAGGACAGGCCTAACTTCATCGCGTGGCTTCATGCCATTCCTTGAGAGAAACAACACCAGCCCACCTAGTGATGATGATAATGAGATGATGCGGGACTACTCTACGCATGTCCTACAGCGGTGTTGATAGTGGTGTATGCACATGGCCCACCATCCCGTGGATCCGAAGCAACAGTAGCAGTTTTACACGCTCCTTGCTGCTGCTATGGTCCAGCTGAGTCGACACAAAAATCCGCCTCCCTCCCCTACATTAGTGTCTTCTTGTGTAACTACCCACGTTGTTGATGGTTAGATTCCAGTCCTTGGCTAACCGCGTAAGTGCTGCGCGTCTGCTTTTACACATGACTCGACAGCGCCGCGTCTTGTCCGTTCGTCCAGGCCGACGCTCGTCTACTTCAAGTAAGGTCGCTTTGGCTATCGACGTTGTTGCTGTATGCGCCTCTCAAGCAGCCTCTCCTGGACCTCCATCGCTAGTAGCTGTACGTTCACCTAACGCCACCATCACATAAGTGCATCACCAAACAGAATTGCGAGTATGAACAAGTGAGAACCGAGCAAATGCGATGAGCTTCTCGAACAAAATTCTTACAATAGAGTCGTTTGTTAGGGTCCGCGCTGTTTCGGCGTGTCATGCGGCTGATTTGCCGATCTGTCCGGCCAATCATTGCACACGCGAAATAAAGCGTCTTGAGGCCAGGGCTAGGTTTTGGGATGCGCCGGACCATGACAGAAAGTAGGCGTTGCGGCGTTACGGCAGGGCAACTGTTTGGCAGGAGTGGACGCCCGTAGGCAACCTCACAAAAAGACACGAAACAATGCACATCGAATATCATGACGGTCACCCCCTCTTCTCGCATACCACCCTCTGGTCGCCAACAAAAGGGCCAATCGGATTACAAGCGCGAATACCACCATGAATGGTATTCGCCAAGAGGATTGATCCTCCTGTACCTTGAGTGCTTCCGGAACCCCCCGAACAAAGTAGAGCAGTCGCAGGAGTCCTCGGACGAAAAAATTGTGCTCGCTCGCTCCTAGCCGAGCCAGCGCCTGGAGTTCGTTTTTGGCAAGAGGAGAACGGCGTCAGGAGGGCAGGAGCGAAAGCGCTTGGGAGATGGATACAGAAAATATCATGACCATGTCGCAACAACAACAAACACAAACGAATCTCAACGCCCGTGTTGTAAGCCCCTCCCTCCCTTCCCTATCCCGGAAGGGAGTAAAAGTAGGGGACACGGAAACTTCGGTGTCAGGAATGCTGTTTGCGGATGATATTGTCGGTGTCGGACACCCCTGAGGGACCGCAACTGCAAATTGACGCGGCGAAGAAGTTTACTGATACGTGGAGATTGTCTGCCAACGTTGAGAATAGTGCCGTCATGGTATGCAACGAGAACAGGGAGGAACCAGTAGAACATAGATGGAAGTGGGGGATCGAGGAGATTGCAGTAGTGGACCAGTACACATACCTCGGAGTAGAGATCGCGAAAGACTGCTCGTGGAATGCACACATGTCCAAGGTAGCGGAAAAGGGCAAAGCACGAGCAGGGAAGCTGCACCCAATACTCGCAAACAGGCACCTCGATACACGCATCAAATTGACGATTTTGAAGAGCGTAATCGTACCGCCGCTAGAGTACGCCGGAGTAGGTATTGGAAGGAAATAAGAAGGTAGTGAAAGCACTCGAGGCGGCGCAGATGAAAGCAGCGAAAATCATCCTTGGATGCTCCAAGCGCACAAGTAATGCAGCCGTTAGGGCAGAATTGGGGATCCAATCCTTATGGTCAGGAAGAGACGCGAGGAAGATGACATGGCAGCATCGCATGTGCGGGATGAGAGAGGAGACGTTGCCGAGAATTGTATGGGAGGCGAAGTGGGCAAACAAAAAGAGGGGTAGACAACCCGCGGAATGGGTCAAGGTTGTAGAGGACGTATGGAAGGGGCTCGACATCGACGAAGATGAAACGCTGGGAACGGAGGGTCTACAGGGGCTCAAGGAGAAGATATCTGTTGCTTGTGCCGAGAGAGAAGAACAGAATCTAAGGAAAGAATCCAAGGATAAGGAGGGTCTAGAAGTGTACGGAATGTTGAAGGAAGGAATAGGGTTCAAGGATCACCTACATGGACCAATGGATGCGGGAACAAAGCTTAAGGTCAAATTCAGGACCGGGGACATAGGCCTTCGAGAACGTCGACGAAGGCATAGGACGGTAGACGACGAAGACGACGAGTTCAAATGTGATTGCGGCTTCGAATGCCAAGGCCGTGTTCACGTAGTCGCGGTATGTCCTTTGTGCAAGCAGGAGAGGGAAGTGTGCGTAACTGAGCTGGGAAAAATAGATAGGACGTACAGGGAGATGTTTGAGGCATGGAATA